TCAGTCTACTTTCTCGGCGAAGGCTGATCATACTCGCCAATATAGAAAATCAAGTCATCTGGCTGAATTCCCTCCGAGTCCTCCAAACTGGAAACATACGCCCCAGTGACGTCCTTGCCCTCCATACTATTCCACTCCCAGCACATCTTGTGAACGTGCCAGTAAAACGGGTTATCGGTGATCTGTCCCCATCCAATCTCGCCCATGTCGATCTGGAAGCTCGTCTTGGGTCCGACACCGCGCATCTGCCGGGCCTGCGCGATCGAGTTCATGGCCCTGTACTCCATGACGTCGACGAATTGGACAGAGTCGAGGTCGGACAGCCATTTTCCCGCGCGTCCCCAGACACGAGCTATGATGTCGCGCAGGGAGACGCCCTTTTCGTCAAAGCCGTTGGCGACGAAGTCGACCTTGATACGGTTGCCGTCGATGCGGAACTCGTTGATGATGTAGCCGCCTGACGATACTGTCCACTTGTCGCCACTGTTGCTGACGCTGTAGCCGGCGTCGTCGAGCTCGTCGCAGTGGCCGAGGCACAGGAGGCCGCAGAAAACCGCGAGGCAGTAAAAGATTATGGACCGCATTGCTAGAAATGGTACGAATAGGTGGTCAAATGAGTGTGTAAGCAGAGAGCCGATGCTTCTTGAGGAAGTTGAATATGCGTGAGACTTGGACCCGAAGTCGGCTAACGGGCAGGCGCTTAAATAGTGATCACAGTACTCAAGACACAGTTCTCATCAACTTACAATGCTACTTGCTATTTGAACAGCTTCAACGCCGTCACCCACAAAGCTCGTGTCCATCTCGTTCGGCCCAAATTCCGAGACACGAATGGAGCATACGGCGAGTTATGACACAGATAATAGCTTCGAAAAGTCAAAAAGTTACCGGTGATGATTGATTCGGTCTCTCCGCCTGCAAAATCGAACATGGCGTATAAACTTTTGTCAAATGGTCGGTGGAGCCTTGGAGCCGAGAACGCCGGCACCCATGTACAATGATTATTCCCAATGATGTTGACTTTGTAATATATACTGTACTGTAGAAAGTGAACCAACGCACGGAGATGCCGTTCATTGCAACCACCAAGGTTGTTCGGTGCATGGAACTGACGGGAAGTCTATTTTACATCGGCGCAGTTGAGGATAAACGCCCAGCCGTATCCAGGATCACCAACTGGACCGAGCTGAGAACAGCCGGGGCTTATGAGGTGTGTGTCAACTGTCAGGTACGGCTGCGCACTTATATTAACTTTCGCGATCATACTATAAGTACAGTCATGTAATTAACTAAACCTTTTCAACGTCTGGGCGTCATATCTCACCCAAGCCGAAACACAATTATCTCTGAATTCCTGCGTCTCCATCCACCGTCGGGAGAGGCCCATGCAATCAAACTATCGTAGGAAACTCGGTCATGACGGCAATGGCGCAGAGTCCCGTTGATACGTCGGACTTCTATAGACTCCTAATAGTTCTAGTTATATAAGTAGCCAGAGTAGGGAAATCTCAGCTAGTACATCAACAGCTTACTGAAATCACTCCTTCTTCTCTATTAAGGACGACCTTGAGTATTCAATCAATCAAAAGCCAAGCTCCCTACAATAGGTTGTATTCATCATGCATTCCCTTTCTACCGTTCTTCTCTTCATCGCCGCGCTGGCCGGCCACTCTGTCGCTCAAAGTTGCACCGACCAGTGCGCAGACGTCTTCGCCGTGGCAAGCTCAGAATGCCCGCACCTCGGCAACACAAAAGAAGACGCCGATACCCTCAACGGCCCCAAGATGAGCTGGAAAAACAACATCTGGTCCACACGCGGCAAGGACGGTGCCGTTGTGGAGATCGACCCCAAAGCTTGCACTCTGAGAACATTCGGCGGCCGAGACGACTTCTGCGGCATCTGGATCGGCGGTAAGGAGGAGAAAGGAAAGGGAAACACTGAGGTTAAACAGCCGAACGCATTGTTGCAGATTCCTTTCAACGGTGGCTGCTGCAAGATCGACAAAGAATTCTGCAAAAATGGCGCTATTGACTGGGCGCAGTTGTTGAGAGTGAAGAAGGGGCCCGATGCTTCGTAGATATGGCAAGCTGAATGCTGGTGAACGCTTTCGCAGAAAGCAGACCTTTGGTTGACAGCAATACACGTTGTCTAATCAAAGAATTTGCCAAAATGGCCTCAGCAATAGAAATTTAATTAGTTGCAGAATGTGTGGGAATAGCGAAATATGATATAGATAATGTGGTAGTCGTCGCCTCAATTAAGGTATAGGTCGTAATGTGAATACCAAACGATCAATCTTTCTCTTAGTCATGGCGCTGGTCATTATTATAGATACAAAAGCCCGAGGAGAATGGACTACTTATAGACGAATGTCTGTGCATGTAATGCGACAGCATCATGCCACGAGATGTTCCCATCATGTTGCGCGAACGCGGCTGACTGGCCAGTACACGCAGCGAGGTTTACCGCAGCACCTGCAACACTCGACGCGTATTTCCTGTCCGTGTTGCCCGCATTGGCACTTCATGTTGACCAGTGCATTAGTCTTGTTCACCGAGTCTCGAAGATACAATCCCAAGCACGTACACATGTCCAGAGATTGACAACTGCTTTCTTAGGCCTCCAGACCTCAGACTGGTCAAGTAGCGGAACCCATGACTTGCAAGATGTTGAAACTGATGAAAATTTAGTATCAAATGTTTAGGTGAGAGATGATTCAGTTCCGTACTGTGGGGAAAGGGCATTGCGGCAGGCGCTGAAGACTAATTATTCCACAAAGGTCCTGTCCTGTTGTCACAACTCAACCAGTAGCCAAGAGTGATGGCTCAGTCAGCCCCGGATTTTATCTCGTCAGTTCACTGCTTCCTTGGAAATACGCATGCAACTTACCTTGCAATGTAGGGAAATGTAGTTCTTGAACTTAATGCACCTTGTGGCTTTCCTCAAGACTTCTATGGCTCACTTGTCAAGTTCTCAACGGTTCCAACATTGACTTATCCAATGTAGGTAGTCAATTTGTGAAGTCTATTGATTGAGCCCATTTCCAGTTGAAGTCTTTGTAACAACAGCGCGCTCCGTATGGAGCCGCTTTTCAAGGTCATATCTTAGGCCTGATTGTATATGAGCGCGGTATTACGTGCTACAGGCTGTGATTGCGCACGCGAGCACACCGATGGGGCTATTATCAGTGGCCAGCGATCTGCGACAAAATCCCCGATGAAACGCCCGCAAGCCTCATGTGCGCCTTCGTGGTTCCTCCGCCATGCGCACAACTGTAGGTACGGGCACTTCAAAGTTATGGAGAGATACGTTCGGTCAACACCCTCACCTGATGAAACACAGCCACGTTTAATTCCGATGTTGAACAGGAAAATCGTTTGGACAACTAGGCCACAGATTTGTAAAAGCCCTCCGCACAAGCGTTCATGCCTTTGTACAAAAGAGGCCTCCCGGGAACCCAAGTACTTGATTATCGACGTGAGATTGGTTGATTACCTGTATTTTAGGTGCAACTTGCTGTGATTATGACCATATCGAGGCTTTCTTAGCTCAACTTCCAATTCGAGGAGACTGGAATTTAGAAAAGCGACAAGACGCGAAAACATATGATCAGCTCATGTGTGTCGATTATCACGAGTTTCATGCTTCCGGGAACGTCAGACTTGATCGGTGAAACAAATTCGTATCTAGGTCATAACTCAATAAATCGTATAAATGTGAAGAGAAAAGAGGGGTCGTTGCATTATTGACGTATAATCTAAGAGTGATCTTCCCGCATATCTCTGTCTACCTATGTACTACAAATAGAATGCATCCCAGTCCTCACAAAGCTTAAAACACGCGCAATTGTTGAACCTAAATGCAGCTCACTTGAAGTCTTCAAGCTCCTGCCGTTGTATGAGAAAAGACTCAGAAGTACTAGGACCTTTAGCCTTTAACCACTCTGCGCCATGGGGTTGCGCATCCATCGGTAACTTTCCTGACACATTGAAACCCTCGGCTACGTGAGAAGAATTATAAATGCATGCAATTTCATACTGAAATTCTATCAATGTCATTGACGGGACCAAAGTTACCTTGTACATGCTTGTGACATGTGAGGTAAAGTGAGACAGGCGGCTGCGGTTATACGCACCTCAGTTCACCGGGTGTAGGACCAGAGCAATTGACTCGGCACCACAATAACCAGAATTTCTCTGAATTACCTTACACAGCGGCGGCTTGAGATACAATGTCTTTGTATGCGAATCCTCGACAGAGCTCAATAGTCCACATCACCAAGACCGATTTCGGCATCCAATTCCACAAGGCAGACTTGGAAGTTTCCAGCATTATTGGAAATGTCTCAGATTTCGGTATGACTTGGTGCCTAGATCATTGGATTCTAAACTAGTGAAACCTGGTATTAATTTACAAGGTACCTAACGAGATAGCAGCGTACAAAGTGGTCTGCCAAAGCCCCCTGACGTTTGCCTAGCTGCCTGGCATTCTCACGTCGGGGTTACACAGTTCCTACGGCAACAGGCTAGGTCCGACAAGGATGCCACTCTTCAACTTTGTCAGAACACTTGCGTGACACGACCGAAGTCGGATGGTTCAATCAAAGAGTTTCCAAGCTGTGCCTAAGCCACTTCGTTGGATGATGTTACTTCTAGTAGTTAATTTTGACCAATTGTGCAAAGTAGATGTACCTTATGATGTAACACTCAGGTCCGAACAAAATGTATTTTGTCCGTCTAAGTCGCGTCACATGGTCTCTCACTGCCACATCCGCCCGACACGTGAACAAGTGTTGGGCGCCTTTCCAGGGCAGCACTGATACAATTTTTTCCTTGAGCGATCCGCCTTGCCTACTTATCTTAGGCATTTAAAACGATTCCTCCTCCTTTTCCATTGGCGAAAACTTGTTGCATTTTTGCTTGGCCAATACCTGCTATCTCTTCATTATCACCTTAGGCCAGAGCGCCATACGAAGCATAAGACGGAAAGATTCCCTTCAATGTTACCTGGCGGCGAACACCTTGACCACGAGAGGCTTGGCCACAAGATGGCTGTCGAATTGGTCCCAATTGGCTTCAATTTAGCCTCCTTTCCTTACTGTGCTGGAATGGACGGCTTGGACAATCCCAAATGGATTATAGCTGAGCCGTTCAATCATGGACCAAAACGGAAACAGGCGTATGTGTGGTCGTGTGTGCGTATCCCTTCCACATCTTCATATCTACCTTAGACTTGAGTGTTAATTAATCATCAATACCAGTGCCGCTGTCAGCAGAGTGGAAATCCCTTGCGACTAGAATCCTGCCAAAATTGCGGGAACTCACGTTGCGCATACTGCCCTGTGTTAAAAGTTAGGAATTAAGGTTGTTTTAAGCCTACCTGCACATACGTTGAAGATAGATGGTCGTCGTATAAACCCCAGTAACTTAGCCTTCTTTGTCAAACATTCATCAAACCGTAGTCAGCCATAAGAAGATCTACACTATGTATTTTTAAGCCACTTGCTTGAGATAGCCAAAGAATCGCAGGGGAAAATCTAGAACATTGGCCTGTATGGATTCCGTTGGAGGCTCAGAGGGAATCTCACTCATAAGGGCACAATGGTGTGTGTAACTTCGTACGCTTTGCAATTCGAGATTTATACAAGATTGACTTGATGCTTCGAATTAATAATGATCTGAACTCCGTGAAAAGCCACCTTAGTCGGTTGAAGTCATCTAAGGTCCTTAGCTAGGGTTGGAAGGCACAGCACACGCGAGTTCCGTCTTCCTTTGCATTTGAGACATTGCTGTGTTCAATAAACATCAGGTTGCGGATTGGTATCCCCCCCCCCCCCCCCACAATTCGCAACCATTGCTCAGTGGCTGGTTATGTGTATCCGTACTTTCTCAATTTAGTACACAGTTCGTCAGCGGATGCATCGCGAGTTAAGCTACTTCGTGACGTGACAGGTCTTGTCTCTCTAGCCTCTTCGGACTGTAGAAGATAAGACCTAGCATCCAGACGCGAAAAGGAAAACCTGACAAAAGTCATGTGTGCTGATCAGAGCAGAGGATTTGAGGATGTTATTACAGAAGGATCGCCTGAAATATAAGCGAAATTCACATATGAGGTCAATGTAATGTAATTATGGCATTATTTCTGGAAACTTTCGCTTGGCTTAAAATCAATTGGATGGTGAAGGCAGATCGCACAGCGTTTTGGTAATATTAAGAAGGTGCTTCCGGGCTCGAACTCTTGTTACTGGTTTAATCGCATTTTCACAAAACCCGATTGGGATTGACGTGCTCCAATCATTGTATCCAGTTGTAGTAAGATGCTTCAGTGGAGTTGCAGGACTTGGGAGCCGCCTTGCCACGATGCGGGCTGGGCTGTAGGCGTCCTTTCGGACTGGTCGAATGGCTCGATGGAGTCTTATACGGTATTCTAGAAGTGAACAGTGGAGACACTGTCAGCAGGTTGAAGCGTCATTATCGGCGTCAGGGGGCGTAGGAAACTCGGAGAGATAGTTGCTTGACTTTGTCAGTGCATGTAGTTAGCCAAGGTCCTACTTGAACTTCTTCCATAATCACGTCTGGATCATCACTCGTATACTATTGAGAGGCCGCGATGAAACCTTCTACTAGTTACATGTCCGATTCGGAGTAGCATGGAAATTATTAGTAGAATTGTTGGTGATTGCTGAACTAAGTAGCCCGAACGTTTGAAGGGTCGAGGGTGGAGTATCTCGCGTACTGATGCGCATAGAATAGTCACCACAGACCCTGTCTACGAGTTGAAATTCGCAACACTTGCGATTTTTTCCCTGACAGGAGTGTTGTCCAGGAAGACATCAAAACGCGCAATCTTGCCAGATTCTTCCCCTTCCGTCACAATTGTGACCAGCCCCGCAGCTGGGATGTTGATATCTTCGTTACCAGGGTCGCCCTTAACCCGATAGGTGATGTCTACAGCGAGCCAAATTCTGTTGTCTACCTGGTCTGCAATCTTTCAGCACCACTCGAGACCTTCATGAAGTACGATTATTACCAGCTTGGCGAGTGACATGCTTCATGTACGACAGCTGCCCAAACGCCGCGTCCATAATCTGCTTGATGGCTTCTAGACCATCAGCAACAGGAAAATTGGTAAATTTGACCTGAGCATCCTTGGAGTAGATCTTGTCAAACTCTGTGGTTTGGAGAGAGTCGTGGATATCGTGGGACTGTCTGCGAAGTGAGCGTGGAGTCCTGGGTGATGGCATATTTACTCACGCGTCGAAGCCAAGCCAAGGCCTCGGCTTGAGTATTTGGAACGGCGACCATTTTGCTCGATATCACACTGAAAGGATGAGACACGGAGATGTGACATGAGATTAGCGTTTTGAATTTGTCTATAATGTCTCTCTTCTTATGTGTTGTGTTCTTTCTTAGTGCTGACAAATTGCGATTGCGCAAGAGCTTACAAATGTTGCCGAATCCTTCGGGGACTTTTACTCTGTAGAGGTTGCTGCGGCGCCGCGCGACCATCTCTCACACCGTATCTGAATATCTACGTCTATTAAAGTCAAGGGCTTGAGCGTCCAGGGTAATCTTACTTATCTACAGATCTCCAACGTCTGCAGAGACTACACCTCCATGACTTCCATGGACCATCATCACAAAACAATGCACGAGAGCATATTCAAGATGAGGAAGTGATCATAAAAAGGAGGTGACGTTAGTCTGTGCCTGCCTTCAGCGGACCATCTACCAAGACCTCGCCAGGAAACGGGATCTTTGCTAGACCTCGAGCCCAGTCCATAGCGATAATTGGTGCCGCCTCTGCATCGCGAGACCACCGCATCTTCTTGACGAGGTTGCCCAACCGCTTTACAGCATGCCGATTGCATGTTATTGTGGTGTGGTTCGTCTTCCACCCATACAGGAAAGACGAGCAGTTCGTCTCGTTGAGCGTTGGCTCCACCGCCAACACGACCTTTGGCAGTGTCCCCTTGCGGACCTCGTTCGCGACGTGTTCCCTGCGGAAGTCTTCTACGATACGAATGGGTAGTTGCAGATCTTCCGGTACTGGATGGCATGACAGCTTCTGGAGTTCTGCAACCAAATTCAGGCGACGATTCTCCGTTGCCTCATCGCCCTTTTCCTCAATGGGCCACCCATCCTGCCGTAGAACACGATCCAGGAAAGTCAACTTGTCGTCCTGCTTCCCCCTGCGATCCTCCTGTCCAAGCAGTATTTCTATGCGAGAGACTTCCGACTCTGTAGATGCATCGTATACCATGCGCAGACATGTCTCCGCCGCCTCGCGAGTGCAGACAAGCGTGTGGCCGCGAAGAAGGGGGTAAAGGGACTTGGGTAGCCTAGGACCGTGCTCCGCTTCATCTCCCACGTCTTCCAAGATCTTGGGACGCCACTTTCGCTGTGAGCTATGACTGTGAGAGATGTCTGTCGTCAAGGCCACAAATATGGACGTGTCGATGTTCAAATATGGAGTCAGGGGTGGCACTTTCACAGCATCGCCATGACTAAGAAGATTTGGTATCGCGAATTCGAGAGGTGGAGGCGGGGTCTGGCTCTCTTCGGCGCATTCCAACGCAAGTGAGATGTGGTCGTCACCAAGGCACTCAATCCTTTTCAAAAACCTGTCTATGGCAGGGACACTACCCCGAGAGATATTTGGAAGCACGATTCGTACACGATGCTGGTAACCCCCATGTATCTCGCGAGCGGCAGCCAGCAGCTGTTTTGCACTCTTCAGAACCTCAATCTGGGTTTCTTCGTCGTTGATAACTTCTTCCAGGTCATCGTCCTCATCGTCATCATCATCGGGCTCGTCCCAGGGAAAATCTGCTTCGGCCATCTGTACTAACAGAGCCCGCTCGGTGATGCTGAGTACCCGCATCCACTCATGCCCGTTGTCGACAATAGCACTGACGAATACTGAGGTTTGTTGGCCGTCCAGCTTTGAGTAGGGGACTGCGAACCGAAACCAGGTGATTGAGCAACATTTTTTGATTGCCGACCAGTGGTTCTCGTATGAGGCGAGCTCCCCTTCTATGAGCCTGAAATCTCGAGAAAGCGAACCCTCGGCCTCTGAACCCGGTTCATGCGTTTCTTGACATCGTTGAATCAAGGCCTCCGCCCGAGTTCGTTGGCTGACGTTGGCCTGCCAGAATGTGCTGAAACCGGGGATGTAGGCGTGCCAGTGGTTGTTGACCTTGGCGGCTTCGAGTTCAACAGCCAGGCGCATCTGCTCGAGCTCATCGCATATCTTGTTGCAGCGGGCAATGAGATGTTCAGCGGTCTTGATGAGCTCTAAGAATTCTGCAGCCTCCTTGAATGGAGATAAAACCCATTGATTGCCATTGCCGTCCATCGGTTGAGTCAGAAAGTCGTTCTAGAGAGGCTTAATGGAATAGATATGTGGTATTTGCAATTCAGCTCCTTGTGAGTGCGAGGTGAGGTGCTGTTGGCCTTAATCGATCGAGGTGAGAAAACCGGGGCGGATGAGTCATGACGTGGAGAGGTCCTCCTGATCGATGGGAAAGAATGGGAGTCAATGGCTTGAGTTCTTGTGTAGACATGCAAAATAGCTGTCCTAAATTGAATTCCAAAGTCTAAGGAAGTATCAACGCGGTCCTCTCAGGACATAACGAGACGAAGACGGTTGATTGTTGAGCGATTGGCAATTGAGGAGGAAATGCACGACAAGAGAGCCTGGGAAACGGCGCACAAAAACTGCTCAGGTCCTGAGAGTGGGTCACTTAGAGAACAGGCTGATTACATCAGCCGGTCGGATCATTATCTCCGACAATTCCCGACGACATTCGTCTGCAATCACCACCTGCAATCACCACCATAACCATCCGGGAGATCTTTGATTTTAGGTATAAGGTTCATCAACATTAAATTTGTCTGATCACTATCCAGAGCCTCCCAACGCCTCATTACTTGGTATACAGCCGTTATATGCTACGCTTATCCCGCTTCGATGCAAAGTTTCTAAGCAACATTCTCAATCGACCACGACTCGACAACTTCGGCGAGCGTGCTGTCACTACCAACATTTCCAGGGAAGACAACGTACGGCACACCGCGATGCCGGCTAGTCTCCTCGTCGCACTTCCACAACGGGACGCCCGGGGCAGCTTGACCCATGATGCGAGCCCGTCTCATCCTCAGACCCTTCGTGGCCGCATCAGATGATGTGATGCCACCCTTGGCAATCAGGTACCGCGGCCGTACGTCAATCTGCTCAACAAGCTGTACCAAGGCCCGGGCGACCTTGGAGCCAATTTGGAGAGAGCTGAGCGCATCGCCCCCCTTGATCAGCTTCCGAGATGTCATGACGAGAACATCCTCGCCAGCTGCAAGCTTGGTTGCGGTCTCGGCTGCTGCGGCAGTTACGACCTTCTCCGCGGCGTCCGCAGATTCAATGAGTCCTTCGACATCGAATTCGATTACCGCCAACTTGTCGCCTCTCCTCTCTCGGAGCACCTTAAGTTGTGCCGTCGTCTTGGGTACGTAAGAGCCAGCGACGATCAGTCCACCTGGCTGCTTGGTACCGGCCTCGACCGACACCCCAAGGTCTGCCATGGTCAATGGTGGGATCCCTGTGATTCCCAGGCGAGAAGAAACGAAGGCAGCACCAGTGCGGTAGAGATACCGCCTGCCCTCTTTCTCTGCCTCAAGCAAGCCTGCCACGAAGACGTGCATGTCAGACTCGGCGGCAGCATTGACGATGACAACTGTGTTGGAGCCAGGCGCTACTGAAAGGAGCTTCTTGGTGACACCTGCAGGTCCCCCTACGCGAATATCGTCGAGAGTGACGGACAAGAATGAAGATTCGTCGAAGCGGTGGCCGCACTTCTCGAGGACATACTTCCGCAAGTTCGAATTCTTGTACCCAAAGGTGGCGTCTTGGGCAAAGGGTGTTTGGCTCGCAGGCACCAGCACGTCGCCTTCCTTGACGTAGTGCACGTCATTGATCGTGTATCTTCCGCCTTGGTAGAAGAAAGGTGTCACAACCCAGGCATCAAACTTGCCAAGAGCCTCCTCAGCAGCCTCGGGCTCCTCCGGAAGATGTCCACGAAGTGTCGAATCACCTCGAAGGACGATTTCGAATGCTTTGCCTGCCTTCTCAGCCGCCGTCTTGACATTCTTGCAAATTTCGACAATAAGGTGTTTGGCTTCGGCGGAGGGTAATGCGCGAGAGTTGGTCAAGATGAAGAACCCAGTCGGGTTAAGGCTAAACTCGTCGTCCAATGTGGCCGAGTCCCACACGGTCAGGACATCGATGTTATGGCAGGTTTGAGTTCCTGTTGGGTCATCATCCAAGACCACAAGAACCGGCACTTCGCCATTGTCGACCACCTTGCGAGTGGAGCTGATCACATCACCCGCATATTCGGTTGGGAGCGCGTCAATCGTCTCTTGTGCCGGCAGGCCCTGCTCCTGGCCTGCTTCAATCTCCGCGTTCTCCGTTTTCGAGCCACTGTTCTCCTCAAGCTTGGGACCGGCATTGCCAGAGACGGAAAGGCCCGCTAACTCCCAAAGCCGAACGACACCAGCATCGGATTCCTTCGTCCACCCGTGAGATGCACCTGCGAGGTACAAGTTGTGAGCTGCTGACGAAATCGGAGCAAAGTAGGTGAGTCGCTTTGCCTCATCGAGGACAATACCCAGATCCTTGACGAAAATGGCCAATGCGGAGTGTGGTGTCCAGTCGGCATCAAGCATTTGAGGCACTCTGTTCTCGAACATCCAACTCCATGCGGCCGCACTGCCAAGAATCTCGAAAGCTCGTCTCGTGTCGAGACCCAGGCGAGCAGCGAATGCCATAGCTTCGGCAGCGGCCGCTATATGAACACCAGCCAGTAGTTGATTGATGAGTTTCACTGAAGACGCAGCGCCGACGCCTCCCTGAACATGACAAAGGTTGCTTGACGTTCCCGTCATCGCCAGTAACGGGCTGTTAACCTTGGAAAGAACAGCCTCATCTCCAGAGCAGATGATCTACCAGATGTTAGCGACGAGTCTCAAGTCAGGTGGATAAGATGGAAAACTTACCGTAAGGGTACCATTGGCGGCGCGGACCACGCCGCCGCTGACAGGGGCATCCACGAGGCTCAGTCCCTTGCCAGTGTTTGTGAGCTTGGCCTCCAGTTCTCTAACAAATGAGGGTGGGACTGTCGAGCTGAGAATCACGATGGCGCCATCGGGTAAGGTTTCCGCTGCCTTCCCGGAGCCGAAAAGAACATCGTCGGCTTGCGCAGCGTTCTGAACCATCAAAACTAGAATGTCGGCGCCCTTTGCTGCCTCCGCGGGGCTGCTAGCCTTGGACGCATTACCTCCGTTGGCCACGAACTTGTCGATAGCGGGCTCGTATACGTCGTAGCCATGGACTGCGAAGCCGGCTCGGAGAAGAGACCCAGCCATGCCCTGGCCCATCGCGCCCAACCCCACCATACCAATCTTTGAGATTTCCAGCGGCGTACTGCTTGGAGTCAACTTTTCTTGGCTGTTCAGCTGCCCTGCCTGCTCCTTCACGGCATGGGGGGACCCAGGGAGGAACACCCGGACAAGTCCAGAGTCGTCCTCTGCACCGTATCCATGTGCAGCTCCTGAGATGTACAGCTGCTCGGCTACCGACGCAAGAGGCACCGGGAATTGCAAAGTTCTGGCCGTTGAGACGACGATGCCCTTTCCAAAGTCATTAGTCGCAATTCATGACCACACTGAGGGAGCCACTCACCATGTCTTTGACAAAGATGTTCAGGGCAGACAGCGGTGTCCAGTCGCCGTCCAACATATGCGGCACGCGATTTTCGTACGCCCAAGAATTACCAGCAGCATTTGTAATGATGTTGTACACTTCGCGGGTGTTCAGGCCAGCTTTGGCGGCCAATCCCATTGCTTCTGACGCAGCAGCAATGTGCGTTCCGACCAGCAGCTGGTTGACCATTTTGATCTTGCTACCCGCTCCTGGTCCACCAGGAATGATGTACAGCTTCTCCGACATGTCCCGCAGAACACGATCTGCACGTTGCAACGCTTCAGGGGCCCCGGAAGCGAAGATACTGAGTGTGCCGTCGGCTGCACGCTTCGTGCCACCCGATACGGGGCTGTCCACCACCAGAACATCCTGCCGACCCGCCGCCGCAATCCGGGGCGTCAGTGCCTCATGATACGTTGGCGGTACTGTTGAGCAGAGGAGAACGGTAGCATTTGCCGGTAATGCTACGGGAATGATGTCAATTGGATGCTCATGGCTGAGATGCATGCGGACAACTCACTTTGCAAGGCACCCGTCTGATCATTGAAAAGTATGTCATCGATTTGCTGTGCGTTGACTGCCATGCAGACTAGGATATCGCTGGTTTTGGCCACTTCCTTTGGAGACTCTCCCGACTGTCCACCCTGAGCGACGAATTTCTCTGCGCTTGGAGGGTAAACATCGTGACCCTGTACTCGGTATGACGGTTTCTTCAACAAGTTGCAAGCCATTCCGAAGCCCATGGCACCGAGGCCAATGAAGCCAACGCGGGTGGCCTCAGCGTCTGTGGCTGCCATCGTGGATTATCGACTGAGGATTACTTTGATCTGGCGTGACTCGTCGGCGACTTTTCTTCCGAAAATCAACGAGAGCTTGGCTCAAACTAGGGATAACGGTAGACCCAGTCATCTTATACCCTACCTTGCATTCCCCAGATCGGCCAAGACTCGGAAATCCAGCCGCGGCGGCCGGAGGACTCTTCGCAAATGGTCTGGGACTCGTCTGGAGGGAAGAGCCGAAGAGGGCACCCGAGGTGGATTGCGGGCCCGTGTCTGTCCAAGTTTGATGGGGGTGGTCCTCCACACCCTGGACTCGCCTGGAGGCTTGTTCCCCTCACCATTGCTCTCCATCCCTCCCATCCGCAAATGGGACGCGACAGAAACAGGACTAGCCCGAGCCGGCACTCCCAGTCTCCCAGCGCAACAACAAGTGCCTGGCGCTGAAGTTGATCAAGTGGACGCGACTGAGTTTGAGCAGGTGGAGGCGTCTCAACCCCGCACGGAAAGAAGACCGGCCCGCTTATAAACAAAGGAGATGCACGTCGTCCGGCGAATCTTTTCCCTCTTTTCTCCCCTCGGCCATCGTCCCGCCCTTCTCTCTTGTCCACTCCGTCCACCTTCCCTTCCAAGACCCACGAAATTCACACGGACTTCTATCCAGCCCTTGGGACCATGAAACGTGCGAGAATCGACGCTCCGGACAAGACCCCGTCATCGGCGGCGGTCTCGGGGGTGGCCTCCGGGCAGCAAGCTCATTTGCCCAAGATTTCGAGGAAGATCCGAGCATGTGAGTTTTCCCCAAACTTTCGGACTGAACTCCCA